CTACATATACGCACAGAGTCCTACATATACGCAGAGTCCTACATATACACATAGAGTCCTACAGCAATTTTAGTTGAGACTTCCATTTTAAGCATAAATCAGCTAAACCCCACCCTCAGTAGCTCCCAGCGTGGTGGAAGAGCGCTATTCCAGCACCTGGGAAACCCATCCGACCGGTCCAGCTGGGGTTAGAGGGCGAGCTCATCGCTTTTTGCGCTCTTCTGTTGCCCTTCAAATCCATTAAGCAGAATTCCTTATCTCATAACACAAAGATTTTACAGGAGGATTTTATGTGCAATCTATCAGCACGACCGCCAAGACGTTCACATTTGTATTAATAAGGCAGGAGCTCTGGGGCAGACGGGCTCGAGGTTTCAAACCCTGGTTTTGCATACTCTTCGTCTCTCCACGGTCTCTGACATCCTGTTGATTGGTGGGGACCGTGTGCTGCTCGCCTTGGCCGGTTGCCCATTACTCCAAGCCAATGATAACTGCTAAATATGACTCATGTCACATGGAAGGTCACAAGGCTCACCTTGAACCAAGGTTAATAGATTGATTTTTTTGAGCTGAGATGGGAGGCATTTACAGAATGGAAGAGAATGAAAAATTTGGCAACACCAATCTCGAGTAGACTTAAATGATTCATTTGTTACATTTGGACTGTAGCCATGAAATTCATTTGACATATATCACCTAGTTATATTCCATCCAAGACACTGGAAAATAAATTAAGGATACATTTTAACACTAGATGACGTTGCCTGCACAAACACCAGGGTGAGGCAAACCTGAGCAACTGACTTTCTCAGTCTCACCGCACAGAAATGCCACGTGTATAAAACGGCACCCAGTCACTTGCAAGGACTAAGACTCCATAACACATAACTAAGCTAGACAAAAATTCTAAACAGCTTGGGTACTGATGTCTTCCTGGGTCTCCTTGCCTGATACAAGGATAAATGGCATGCCCACTCTCCATGCTATGAAGCCTGGACCTCGGGTTTTATTTCCAGTGTACAGAGTCTCTGGGATCATAGAGAACCCGTCCACCCCCCTTGTCTGCACTCCTGCCTGTCTGGGTATCGTTTTCAGTTCCCAGTGTTGAACTTGAAAGTCTCCAGCAACTGACCAGTTGTACTATACTGGGTTGAAGTGTAGCCCAGTGTTGCCAGAACAGGGCCCGCTGGAGAGAAAGCGAGCATTTGCTGGGAGAGTCCTCCCAGGCCCAGAAGCCAGAGCCTATGCTTGCTTCTTTCAAATTTGCAGTCCTAGACAGGGGATGCATCTGCATCGGTAGGATCCTTGCCTGGCTTGCATGAAGCCCTAAATTCAACCCTTAGTACTGTGCAAAACAGAATACGGTTTTGCATAACTGTGACCCAGTACTTGGGAGGCAGAGACAGGAAGCTCAGAAGTTCAAGATCGTTTTCATCTACAAGCTCTAGTTTGAGGCCAGTGGAGACTACCTGAGACTCTGATTCAAAAACAATTGCTGGGTGTAGTGGTGGAGGACTGAAGAGGCAGAGGCAGGAGGATCGCTGTGAATTTGAGGCCAGCCTGGTCTACACTGTGAGTTCTAGGAAAGCCAGGGCTATGAAGAAAGACCCTGTCTCAAAAAAAAAAAAAAAAAAAAAAACCCAACAATTCCAAAGGGCCTTGCAGAAAGGCTCGGCTGGTAAAGGGGCTTGTTGTGCAACCCTGATATCCTGAATTTGATTCCCAGCACCCATCACTGAAGGAGAGATTGTGTTTGCTTGTTTGATTTTTGTTTCCACCCTCTCGTGCCTGTGCACTCCGCAGCAGCACAGCAGCACGTTGTTGGCTGTGCTTAAAATCAGTTCAAGTGCTGTCTTCGCAGGCATGCGGACCTGAGACGGGTCTCCAGTCTCATGTAAAAGCCAGGGGTGGCACCCAGTATTAACCCAAGGGCTAGAGAGATCCCTGTGGATCTTCGGGTCTCTCCGATCAGTTAGCTTAGTTGAATTGCTGAGTTCTGGGTTATTTCTGGCCTCTGCCACACATACACACATCGTCATGTGCCAAAACAACAAGCCAAGGTAATTCCAGACGTTAGGTTGAAACTATATCATGAGCTGTGTTTTTGGGTTCCTATTTTGAAATTGTTTTTCTGTCATCTATGTTGCAAATAGAAAGTAAAGGAAAATGCCCGTTGTTTGAAACCCACTTAACTCATCACTTCTAACTTGAAATAAATAGGGAGGATTAAGTATTGTAAAAAAAAAAAAAATACCTGCTTGAACAAAAACCAAAAAACATAAACTGCTGTAGTGTATGTATGTGTGTGTTGTTTGTTTATGAATGAGGAAATTCATTAACCCAGCATACTTTGTTCTAATGCTTCTTGTTGGCAGCTGACACCTGTCCTGCAATCCTGTCTTGATCTCTCCGATCCTGACATGATAGAGGCCCCCATCTTGGTCCCTTTCCATCATTTTCAGCCTCTCCAGTGCATAAAGGATCTTGGAGCCTCTGCTGAAGTGGCTGGGCCTGGCATCGTTTCTTTGCCATCCTCTGTAGATCTTGGGCATGGAGCCAACCCTGGCACCACAGCAGAGGTACAAGTGCTATGCAGTGAAAGTCACTCCTGTGTAGATCCAGTTCTCATTATAGGGGGCAAGCTCTTTACGCTTGGCCAGTTTGACTGTGTCTACCCATTTGGGGACTTACAGCTTCCCGGACTTTTCTGAGCAAGTCCACCAGAACTCTGACTGCTTAAGGTCTTTCATAACAACTCCAGGCTTCCATGCTGCTGCTGGCCAGGAGGAAGCAACTGCTGTAGTTTTAACTACAGCTGTCAAGTGCTTCCAGAACCTAGAAAGAGCAGGCGGCAGGACCGGAACTTGCTCAGGAAATTTAAAGGCTGTGCGAACCCTGATGGCCTGAGAGCCTTCTTAGCTCATTCCTCAGGGACTGCTGTGTCCGTGTGAGCTGTCCCACCTGAGAAGCCCTGGTACGTTGGCCTGTAACTCTGAAGACAAAGAGAATGAGAAGATTCTGAAGAGGAAATGTGACAAGGGGGGAGGTTCGTTTAAGGACAGTAAAAAACAAAGGAGAAAAGGAAAAGTTCTCTTTCTCGCAGACTAATCCTGTGGGTTTGGGTTTTCCCCAACAGAGTGGCTTGAATTGGTTACTTCTGTGTTTTTTTAACCATAATGTAAAACCCTGTACAACACATAACCCACACAAAGGCCACGGGTATACATCATGTAAGCTTGAGAGAGAGAGAGAGAGAGAGAGAGAGAGAGAGAGAGAGAGAGAGGAGAGAGGGGAGGAGGGCGGGTAGAAAGAGAAAGAGGGTCAGAAAGAACCAGGCTGGTCTCCAACTCACTATTTAGCTACAGATGGCTTCTGACCTTCCCGCCTCTACTCCCAAATATCAGGGTAACAGGTGTCAGCGTCCACCCCCATCTATACAGTATTGGGAATGGAGCCAAGGTCTTCATGAATGTTGGGCAAGCATTCCACCAGCTGGATTTTAGAACTGTCAGTACAAACCTACAAGGGACCCACTTCTCACTTGTTACCATTTTGCAGCAACATTCGGTTGTGTAGAATTTGTTTACTAGATGATGCGCTATAGTAACTAGAGAAACTCGTTTCTGGAAGACAGAGCTGGGAGTAAACTGAGAGATGCTACAACTTAATGCGCCCTGTTGGCAGATGGAGAAACAGGGTTTGAGCAGGGAAGAACAGAGGACAGGATGTAGCTCAGTTGGTAGAACCCTTGCCTGGCGTGCATGTCTTAGTCAGTGTTCTGTTGCTGTGAAGAGACACCACGACCCCATCAACTCTTTTTTTTTTCTGACTCATTCAAACTACCACACAGCCTGAGCTACATAAGACCCTGCCTCAGAAAACAGGAAAAGTGGGACATGGTAGCTCATGCCTGTGACCCTAGCACTAAGAGGCCAAGTTTGGAGGACTGCCACAAACTGGAAGGCATCCTGTGCTACGCAGTGAGACTCCGTCACAAAGCCCCCCCCCCCACTCCCAAAAAGTGAAGAATAAGGAATTCAAAGCCAGGTAAGACCTGGAATTAGAATACAAGTCTTCTAAAAGGAACTGTCTTTTCAGGCTGGAGCAGGATCTCAGAAGTTAAGAAAATTTACTGTACTGGGTAGAGTGGGACACACCTATACTCTCAGGCTGTGAAAGGCAGAGGCAGGCAGATCTCTGTGAGCTCAAGGTTAGTCTGGTCTACAGAGTGAGTTCCAGGGCAGCCAGGGCTCAGTAGAAAGACTGTGTCTCAAAACAAACAAATGAAAAATACCCAGAACAACAACAAAACCCAATTACTGCATCACAAGGAATGGAGTTGGATCCAGCACCCAGGTATAAACCAGGCACCTTACAAATTCTGCTTGTAATTCCAGCCTTGAGGAATCCAACACCCTTCACAAATACAGAAGTTCACGAACCTACCAGTACGCACCCACACGCGCGCGTGCGCGCGCGCGCGCGCGCGCGCACACACACACACACACAAATAAATAAATAAATCTTTAGAAATAGTATTAAAATAACCACCCTTCCACTCTGAGCAGCTGTCAGCATCGCCTTGTGGGGCCAGGGAGTGCTGGAGCCTTCTCACCACGCAGCAGGCTTTTTGCCAACCGCTAGTTTGTGGTCTCCACGCCTTCTGAGGTGTTTATGTTTCACAATGGCTGTAAGATGGAGCGGAGATTAATGAAATGCTTTCCTTGTTCCTGGAGCCAGGTGCTTTCGTTCTGAGCCCTCTCTCGGTGCCTTCTCAGACCCCATCCCATCTTGCTCACTCTCAGTTCGATCACTTCTGAAACATGAGGCAACTCTTCCTAAGCTGTTGGCAAAAGGCACTTGAGAAGCCATGGGAAAGCCCCCATGACCAAAATTAAAGTAAAACTACATATTTCTGTCACTGTGGGCTACTCCTGTTAAATTACCTTCCTGTTGTCTTTTTCTGTTTAACTTCATAAGATCATCCTTCCAGCACTCACCTCAGGCAGAGACTTATGGAGACAGCAGAGAATCTTGGCAGAAACTGAAGAGAAACTGTCGCCAGGGGGAGGAGAAAATGGATTTAGCTGACAAAAGGCAGGGTTGCCTCTTCAGTCACAGGAATCAAAATGAGCTTTCCAACCTTATGTGAAAAGGGAATTTGATGGGGGTGGGAAACGTGAATTGAACATCTGTCTCTGTTGCTGTCCTGCACCTAGGTTGCCTATCACCTGGGTGCCAATCACGCACAGTGCCTGGTTGCCTATCACGCACAATGCCTGGGTGCCAATCACACACACGGTGCCTGGGTGCCAATCACACACGGTGCCTGGGTGCCAACCACGCACGGTGCCTGCCTGTCTATCTCTCACTCTCAGGGTCTCCTCTCATTCTTACAGGTTGGACCAGCCTTGGTACCTCCGTTAGCCATCCTGGGCGTTAATCACATGACATTGACAGCTAGTTAGTAAAAAGCCTTCAGAGGCCTAGGTAAACCAACCAGGAGAGGGCTTGGAGTGGTTTGGGGCTCCCTTAAGGACAAATGAGAGTGTGAGAAATCTTTTTCTTTTTTCCTTTTTAAAAAATAAGTCTAAAGGTGAACTTCTTTCACGGGCAGAGTCACTCTCTGAGCCACACTGTCACCATGCCACTGGGAAGAGACCCTTCTTTGCCTTTTCCTGAGATCCATTACGGGAATGAGTTCTTCAGCTGTCCATTTGCCTTCGGGAAGGTGGAAGCCTCTGTTCCTTTACCGGGATAGAATCCAGAGCATGCACAGTTCAGAGCATGAGCATTCCCAGGGGGGAGGTGGGCCTTGTCACATCCGGGAGGTAAAATACTAATATAAATTCACATCTTTCCTGCCTTTTCTCCCAGACCCTAAACTTTCTTCCTGCAGATGTGTGAGGGTCCAGGCCAGGCAGAATCGTGTCTGAGTCCATTCCGGAACCCCCTTCTCCAGTGCCCAGGCCCGGCACTCAGCATTGCACAGGAGCAGCAGTTCAAACATCTTTCAGCTCTTCTGTTTCTCTAGGGACTCGGTGTAGCTCGAACATATTTTCAAATAACACTCAATCCCACCCTGCCCCGCCCCTCTGAGACAGGGCCTTTTATAGCCCAAACTAGACTCAAACTCCCTATGTAATTAAGGATGACCTTAAGCTTTTTTTTTATTTATTGTTTGATTGTCTCACACTGGTTTAGGTAATGAATTGGGCAAGGCTCACATCACCAAGCACTTGTGAAGGTCAGAGGTCAGCAGGAAGGAGTCATTTCTCTCTTTCCACACGCGGGTTCCAGGGATCCAACTCAGGCTCGTCAGCAAATCCCCTTATTCACTGAGCCATCTTACTGACCAAGCTTAAGCTTCTGGTCCTCCTGCCTCCACCTCCTGAGGGCTGGGGTTTCAGCGTGTGCCTTCACATCTCATTTAGTTTTTGCTGAAGATAAAGCCCAGGATTTCATGTATGACGGGACTCTGTCATTTCTCCCTTCCTTTTCCTTCTTCAGTCCCTCCCGTGTACTCCCTTGCTCTCTCTCAAATTCTTGGCCTCTCTTTCTATCTACCTTCCTTACTTTTTTGGTTTTTCAAGACAGGGTTTCTCTGTAGCTTTGGTGCCTGTCCTGGAACTCACTCTATAGACCAGGCTGGCCTCAAACTCACAGAGACCCACCTGTCTCTGCCTCCTGAGTGCTGGGATTAAAGGCTTGTGCACCATACCCATCTTAAATAAATCTTTTTTTTTTAATTGGAAATTTCCTTTTGTTTGGGAACAGGGTCTTACTCTGTAGCTCAAGTTAGCCTCAAATTTGAGGCAATTCGGGGCTGGAGAGATGGCTCAATGGTTAAGAGCATTGCCTGCTCTTCCAAAGGTCATGAGTTCAATTCCCAGCAACCACATGGTGGCTCACAACCATCTGTAATGAGGTCTGCTGCCCTCTTCTGGTCTGAAGACACACACACACACAGACAGAATATTGTATACTGTATACATAATAAATAAATAAATATTTAAAAAAAAAATTTGAGGCAATTCTCCTGTCTCAGATACTCACGTGCTGGGATTATATACATGGTTTACTATGTTGTGAATTTCTAGCTGATAACCTGGCTTGGCTCTTCAGTTAGGTATTGGTATATTTAAGGACTTTTAAATATCTATTCTCATTTAGTTATTTACCCTGACATGTTTTAGCACAGCAGACACATCTAGCAACATGCAAGCAAACAAAAAGGAAGCAAACAGGGAAAAAAAAAAAAAAAGAAAGAAAAAAGAAAAAAAAAAAGACAATACAATAACGACCATTGGCAGCGGTGGCAAACTTTGACGAGGGAGGAATTTCAAGTCGAGCCCTCAGAAGAGAAGTACCTGGGATGACTGCTGGAGGGGGTAGGGCAAAGGGGAGAGATGTTTCATACAGGAAATGCCATTTGCAAAGCCCTAGAGGTGTGAATGTGTGTGATACTTTGAAAGAGCAGCCAGTAGTTCCACTGCAGTGTGTGCAGTGTCTGTGGTGAGGAGACAGGCTGGGTCACCAGCAGCAAGAAGGAGCTGAGTGAGGGCTGGACGGAGAAGGCGTCTTGTGCAGGGGCTGGCAACTCCTCCAGTTAAGATTGGAAACACCGGTGCTTGTCTGAAAAGCTGCCTTCTTCACAGCGTGGGGACATTCCTGGTGTTTATCCCCATGGGCTTTTCTTAAGTTTTTCTTCAAACCCATTTGCTTTCTTCTTGGGCACCCAGAAAGACTACAGTGCCTGCCGAGCGGTGGTGGCACATGCCTTTAATCCCAGCACTTGGGAGGCAGAGGCAGACAGATCTCTGTGAGTTTGAGGCCAGTTTGGTCTACAGAGCTAGTTCCAGGATAGCTCAGGCTGTTACGCAAAGAAACCCTGGAGAGAGAGAGAGAGAGAGAGAGAGAGAGAGAGAGAGAGAGAGAGAGAGAGAGAGAGAGAGAGAGAGAGAATAATGCCTGTGCTGTGACTACATGGAGCTTGGTCCCTGAGTTCCATCCAGTGAGATATGTCCAGTGAAATAAATGTCCCTTTTAGAATCATCTACCAGAGAGCCCAAAAGCCCCCAAAGCTGGCACACTGAAAGAATCACAGGTCCCTGAGTCACTTCAGAGAAGGTTGTCCACCCATACCGACTGGACAACGACCCGGGGCTAGGGTTGGGGCAGGGGGCTTTCTACACTGTGAAGCCAGGAATGGGAGATTTTTCTGTTGTAGTATTTAAACTAGCAGGAAATCCCCTGGGTGAGGAAGCTCTCTGGGAACAGGTATGTGCTTACCAGATATTGAGTCCCAGTGTGTGGATAAACATTGACACCTGGTGTGTGAGGTCCTTCTGTCTATGTATTGCTCTTATTGGTTAATGAATAAAGAAACTGCCTAGGCCTGTTGATAGGGCAGAAATAGGTAGGCGGGGAAAACTGGACTGAATGCTGGGAGACAGAAGGCAGAGAAGGAGATGCCATGAATCCGCAGCCAGAGTCATCCATGCCAAATCTATATGTCTGTAAGCCACTGTCACGTGGTGATATACCGGTTTATAGAAATGGGTTAAACTAAGGTGTATGAGTTATCCAATAAGAAGCTAGAGCTAATGGGCCAAACAATGATTTAATTAATACAGTTTCTGTGTGGTTATTTTGGTTCTGGGCTGTTAGGACCAACAAGCGGCCTCTCCCCTGCAACAAACACCACTTGCTCACTTTCCTCTAAGCTTAAATCATCACATTAAACTCTGTGGAGCTTGTGGGTGGCAGGGGTTCTGCAGTCCTTGGCATCCTTCCAGCCCTGGCTAACCACCTCCTTCAGGGTACAGGCGAGCCACCTAAAACCAGGTCTCCAGACCGTGTCTAAGGGTCCAGGCCTGCTCCCAGAAGAAGGTGTTCATTCCAGTACATATCATCAGGATTCCCTTCCATTGCTCAGAACCCCAGGGAAAGAACAGACGTGAAGGAAGGAAGGAAGAATTCATGCTCACATGCCACTTTGATTAAGGCAGATGCTGCATTTCAAACTCTGGCCCAGTTATGGTGGGGGCTCTGGTGGAGTCTAGGGCCTGTGGGTTCGGCTTGTCATGACTCACTTCGGTCTTCCTCTTTCAGGCCTGTGATGTGGTGTCAGTGGCGTTTGCCTGACTTTTTCTGTATATACAGATGTTTATTTAGGGGTTACCTAGGAGTCACCTTATGTAGTGGGTGTGAGCTCTTGAAAACAAGCCTGGCTGCAACCGATCGACAGCCTTCTACCTGGAAACAAGGAAAATTAAGGATGGGCAGGAGTGTGCCTTAGGAATAAGACGCTGGCCTGTCATGGATGGTCCCATGTGATTTCAATAGCTGTTCCCCCGACTATGGTGTTTAGCAAGAGCTCAGTTCTATGTAAACCCAGAGATAGGATAATAATGAGGACTCTTCTAGAACAAATACTCCAAGTTTCCCTCCTCAAAATGCTTTGGGTTTTCTTACACCCAGTGAATGTGACAGAGTAGTTCAGAGGAAGCTAAGAACCCTTCTGAGGTTCCCATTATGGAACCCCTTGGTCTAGGAGTCCTGTGTGCCTGCAGCCACTCCTATACCAGGTTTTTGGACCTCAGGGGTGACACTCCCAGCATCAATATAAATGGCTCTTTTTGGGTTTTGTTTGTTTGTTTTTTTCTTTTTGAGGTAGTCTTGTACATCTCAGGCTAGCCTCAAACTCACTGTGTAGTCAAGGATAGCCTTAAACGTCTGACTCTGTCGCCTCTCCTGCCTCCCCAGCACTGAGATCTCAGGCAGGAGTCTCCACACCCAGTTAAGGCAGGGCTGGCCCAAGAACCCAGAGTTCATGCTGGCTAGATAAGCACTGTAGCAGCTGAGCCCCAGGTGATTTGTCCTTAGAAAAGCCCGTAAGTTCATTTCATAAGGTCTTACGGTGGTCAACCTTGAGTTTCCTACTTTTACTTTACTGGTAGCTGTTGACTCTTGAGACAAGCGAAGTCTGGGAGCCCTTCCATTAAAATGAGAGCTCTGGCGTCACAGATGGGAAATGAATCAGTATTCCGGAGTCAGACTCCTAGGACAAGATGCTGACTCTGCCACCAGGAAGGCCCTGGGATAAGGTACTGAGCCTCTCTGTACCTCAGTTCCCTCCTCTGGCTAGAAAGTCATAGCTGAGGCGTAAAGTTTGTACCATGTGTAATCACCCATTCTCCTCTCG